AATTACGTTAATACTACCATATATCCGGTTACTTTATTTTAAGTAATTTGGTTATAGATACATTGGAATTCAAGTATGAAGTGATTTATATCAGTTAAAATTGAATATATTGAGTAATATATAAGTGAAAATGATATATTCATTTAACGTTTTAAAATTTTAGGTTATGATGTAGTGTCAAATTTACTTGTTTGATTTACTCACTATTCATTAGTAAAATGTTCATTAATGTTTAATTTTCTAAGCTAACGGTAAACAGTGGTATCAGAGTCAATGATTTGACCAAAAAATTAAGTCAAATGGTTTGACCAAAAGATTAGGTGGCCGACTTAGACGAGTATTGACCAATAAAGTTAATGATGGATCTAAAAGTGAGATCTCAAATAATAGAACTGGTAGATGATCTAAGAGTAGGCCCATCTCTTGTATCAAAGTCTTCTTAGAATGCGGAAGATATGTCCCGTTAAAGTGTGTTATCGATGGTGCAAGTAAGATACCATTGAATACACGTGGTGAAAAAAAATTCTATATAAAGAAAGAGTTTGGCAATGTGGAATAGACTCACATTTTAAGAAGAATGTTGGAGTTCAATTATGAACTAAGTTCCATATCAATTATAATTGGTCATGTTAAATAGTATATACGTGAAAAGAATTTGCCTACCTAACTTTAAAATTTAAGGTTATGATATGATATTAAATTCACTAATACGATTTACTCATTATTCATTAATAAAGTGTTTTCTGATAATTAACTCTATGAGCTAATAAAATAATTATTTTATTTTTAATTATTAAAATTGGTCTAATGATAAAAATTATAATAATATATAAGGAATTTTAAATTCATGATTATATTTTCTTTAGATAAAAAACTATTTTATGTTTGAAAGACAACTTGTCAATTATTTGACGGCTCTACGACAGATTAAGTTTGTGCAAAAAAATCTCAACCTACCATTTTTCAATAATATAAAGTACATACAACAAATATAACTGCAGTGAAATACAGCAATAGTCTGTATAGCGGCTGTAGTACATATATTTAATAATACAAAACATAATAATTATATTCCTCGCATAGCACATGGAGAATTTCGGTGAGTTTTGTTAGGCTCTAGTAGTTGGAGAAATTATTAGTTTTTTTTTTTTGACACCATAGAGAAATTACTAGTTAGATATGATTCATCACATCATTTCTTAATTATTGTTTCACATGTGTAATCTTTTAAATAATTTATACATTTCCACTATAGTGTGCACAATCTTGTCTCTGTTATATAATAATGTAAGTGATGGATCCAAAAAAAAATAAAAATAATAATAATAATAATGTTGTGAGTGTTTATGATATATTGTACCAGTTATTCAAATTAGATGACCTTTTTTTCACCCATCAAGCATGTGAAAAGCTTAGGATCAAATTTAGCAAATACTCAAGAGAAGACCAAAAGTGAATTGAATATATTTTAACATATAACTGAAACATCAAGCATTATATTATAGATTTTTAATAAAAATAAATAAATAAATAAAATTTTGTATTCTTTTTTGGGTAAAGATAAAGAAACTTTACAAAGATGGTCACAATGAGGATTGAACCTAGATCTTCATACTTTTACTAGACTAATACAAAAAATTATTTATTTATTCAACGTACCACTAGACTAATTCTAGTGGTTAAATAAATAAATAATTTTTTGTATTAGTCATTAGTGACTTAAAAATTAGTCTTTAATTACATATAATTAGAAGTTAAAAAATTACTCTAAATAAATAAATAATTTTTTATTTTTAGTCATTATTAAAAACTTTCTCTGTAATTATATTTTAATTAGAGAAAAAAAGTATTCTTTAAACATTTAGATAAAAAAATTAGTATATTTTATCGTGTCTGAAAAATTGATTTTTAATCATATTTTAATTAGAAATCGAAGTATTGGCCTCTAAAAAAGGACTTCAGCAACTGAAAAATAATTTCTAATTACATTTTAATTAAAGATTAAAAAAATTGATCTCATACGAGTTTGAATTCTAATATTGAGAATGAAATAAATTATACTCAGAATATATTTCATATTAATATCATGATTATAAAAATATATCTTTAAATAAAATAATAAAATAATTATAAGTTATTAGTAAATGAAAAATCCACTAAAAGAAGTAATTGAAAAATCAATTTTTAATTACATTTTAATTATATAGCAAAAATTCAGTATCTGGATAAACAGATAACATTTTTAAATGGTTATTATAGATCGAAAACTTGATATATAATTATATTTAAATTTGAGACAAAAATCATCTTCTAAATAATAAAAAAATTACAACTTTTAAGTACAGCTTGTGAATGACAAATTATAGTCAACAAATACATTAGAATTTGATTTTAAAAATCAATATCTACATAAATAAATAGTTTTTTTTGGTCATAAAAAATTAGAAAAAAAATATTTAAAAATACATTTTAAATTTTTATCCATAAAACTACAATAATAATAAAATTGTTGATAACTAAACAATTTTTAAATATATATATTTCATTTAATAAAAATATATAACTTTTTATCACTGATTAGGTTCTTATAAGAGTTAAGTGATATCTTTAGTTGTAACTCCATATTTAAATCAGATATCAAATTTTAATCATTGTTAAAAAATACAAATATCAAACTACTTAATCAAATAATTTCAGATTTTTAAATACATTTTAATAAGTGATATAAGAATTGATCTCTAAAAGGAATATTATTTACAAAAGTTGATCTCTAAAATGAGTAATTAGGCTTTAATATTGCTTCTTGTCACTTCAAATTCAAATCAATTAATCCTTCAACTTAAACTAATACGTTGATCCAATCAATTGTTTTTTAAAGTTTAGATTAATGTATAATTTTTATACTTTAGACTTTACCTTTTTCTTCAACTTTTGTTAATTTTCTTTTCTATTTATTTTGATTTTCTTATAATCTTATCTATCTATCAAGTGTTTTAATTTGGTCATGTTTATCATCACGAGGTTTTATTATATTTTGAGAGAAATAAATTAGTTAATGATGATACATGTAGAGTGATAACTATAGGAAAAAGAATTGAATATTAAATAAAATAATTAATTAGCCATTAAAGAATAAGAAATATTTTTACCTTGTATTATTATAAAATTAAACATTTATATAAATTAGTAGATAATAAGTGAAAGTAAAAATATGAAAACTATAATAACTTAATTTTTACCATAATCAGATGACTTGAACCAAAACAACCTTATCTTAATCAAATTGATTTGGTTCAAATTGTATGAAAAAAAAATTTAAAACCTAAATTAAACTATTTTAATCAAATATGATTAATTTGACTTTAATTTTTACCTTAAACTAATTTCAATGCAATCCGTCAACATTCTTACTTCTTTGAATAAATAAATATTTTTATTGGTCATTATTGATCTAAAAATTGATCTATGATTATATTTTAATTATTGTGTAAAAAAATTTAAATGAATATTTTTTTTAATGATTTAATGTATGAGTTAGTATAGTGATTACACACTTTATACTCATATGTTATAAAAATGATTTATTTAATAAAAAAATTTGTGTTCAATTCTTGTTGTATGCAAAAACTCATCGAGTTAGTAATAATCACAATATCACAAATAAAATTAGTCTTTGATTCAGTGAACTGACAAAAAATTGATTAATTTGAGACCAATTTTATTTAGTCTCTAAATTAATTGATGAATTCTAAATATTGAAATTTCTAATAGGTGGTAAGAAAGTTGAGAGATCATCCTACAAATTTGATCAACTCAATCCAATCCAACTATATTTTAACGAATTATATTAGATCTGATCAAACTTATTTTAATCAATTCAATTATAATTGAGTTAAATAACTTAGGTAAGTTTTGTGTTATAAATTTACTATCTTTGTTTAAACAAATCTAGATTTAAAATACTTTTTTTTCTTAAATTTTTTATAATTAAAAAATATTAATTTAAAATTTAAATTTAATCAACAACTAAAAACATATTTAAACCTAATATATTCCTACACAACACTACTAATTTAACGTCTATTAAATTGTGAACACAAATTGTGTATCTCTCCGTATTAATACACTCTTAATACTAAAACTTGCATATAAATTTGTCATGTAAATTTTAAATATAAAAAAATCCCGTACCAATTTTATAGTAAATTATTGTCATCCAAATTATTTAATAGGAAAGTCGGGTATTAATGTGGATAAAAAATAATTTTAATAACATTTTAATGTACTTTTTAAAAACAGTTTTTGATATATTGTTTGAATTTTATTAAAACTCACAAAATCAAGTTAATTTTACTATTATTTTACAAGTCACCTTATTTAATGATATTTTTAACTAATAGTAAAGTGTATAAATTATGTGTTAAATATACAAAATATTTTCATGTATAATGAGTTTAGCCAAACTACTAAAAAATGGTGAAGTTGGAGTAGCATACTTCGTCTTAATTCTCAAGTTCGAATTATGCTATTATTATTTTATTATTGTAATTTTAATAAATAAATAAAAACGATGTGTTTACGGGGAAAAACGGTGATTTGTCATGCAATCTCACTTTCATAATCATAACTCAATGATCGATGTATAAATTTAATTAACCTCAAATTATTAATCAAACAGAGAATAAAAGAAAAGTAATTAACAAAAGTAATAAATAAAAGAAAAAGAATTAACAAAAGAATAATAAATATCAAACTTGTTGATATTCATATTTCATATGCATTTGTACAACAATGATGCAATTAATGTAATAATAATAATAATAATAATATATCGTACATACATAAAAAGAGAACGATATATTATAAGTCGACTTATTATCATATGATTCCATTTCACTTGACACCGCCTTCCATTCCACCAACTCAACTCAATAAAAAATTTCCCATATTGGTGGTTACTTACAAAACTTTCAAACTGAGCTTTTTTTTTATATTTTTTATATTTTTCTTTTTCTCATCCCTTTGATGAGTTCATGTAATGCAGCATGCATTAGGATTTTCATCACTGAAGAGTTGTGGAGGTGGCATTGGTTCCATAACATAGAGAGGTGGATATTGGTAATAGTACATCATCCTCTTCAAACCTTCATCATCAATGTTATTAGCCACCACCATTACATTCTCTTCTTTTTTGGCTTCTTCTTTGCCTTCTTCACCACCCTTTTCTTCTTTGTTCTCACCACCACCTTCACCACCCTCTTCTTTCTTGGCTTCCTCTGGTGGCTTCTCCTCTTCTTTCTTCTCTTCAGGTTTCTCAGCTTCTTTGCTCTCTTCTTTCTTTTCTGGCTCAGGTTCTGGCTGAGGAACTATCTTGGCTTGCTTTTTGGTGCGTCTATAGACATAATCCACTAGCTTGTTTGCATCCATGGTCCCTGTCACAAGAACCTTCCCTGTACTAAACTCTGTCATTGCTGTTTGAACTCCTGCATTCATGAATACAGCTTTTCACATTAACTACATATAAATATGGACGACTGATAAAAAAAAACATATAAATATGGACTTAACAGAACATATGATATGGTTCTCTTAAAAAAAAAAACAAACAAAAGAAAATATAATTAGAATAAGAGTGTCTGTTTATAAAATTAACTTATAAGATGGTTCAGAACTTATAAGTTATGAAGTGAAAAGTTATAAATTAGTTAATTAAATTAAAAATATTTGATAAAATTAGTTGATAAGCTAATTAATTAATATAAAATAACATGTTAATTTATTCAATAATGAGAGTAAAAAAATATCACGTAAATAAAATAATTTTTAAATTAGAATAAGTAAAAAAGGATTTCAAAGTAAATTAATATGATAAAAAAAGAGAAACAGTTATTAACTTATAAACTATATATTATTTCAATTAACTTATAAAAATAAGTTATAAGATTGTAGAAACTCGTGTCAAATAAATTTATTTTAGTTAAATTAAGTTATAAATTAGTTAGAATGATTTATAAATCTCTCATAGACTTTATCAAACACACTCTAAATAAAATAAAAATAATAATAGAAGTGTGATATACTCCATCATCATATATATGATAAATTAAATTATATCAAGGAGAATTTCTAATTAATTGACTGTAAAGAAACCTTTGATTTAAGATTATATGTGTCTGTTAAACTCATACAACTAATGGATCTCACAAGTTACATGCATTTGTAGTGATCCTTCTTTAATTTGTGTCTTTCTTTTCTTGTATCTTTCTCTCCTTAAGATGATCATATCCTCTACAAGAAAGATCCAATATACTACTGGACTATTTTGTCCTCTACTACGTTTAGCTCAAAGCCAAAAGGATGAGACTAAGTGGACAATTTGATTTTTAAGACATGATATGGAAGGGCCATCAAGGAAATAAAGTGAGAAAAAGAAAATTTGTTAGGTGGATAAAAGAATGGATTTTAAGCTTATATTTCTTTTCTAATCTTATTTGTTTAAGAGTTAAAGTTACTTCTTTACTTTTGATGTAAAGAACTCGAGTTGCTATCTCATGCAGGGCATGGATCATGGGCCCCAGCTATAACATCACCGATCAATTTTCAGAAAAGAATGCCAAGCTGGAGGGTCCGGCATGCTGCTGATGTGGCAATCTTGACAGATACAATGAATGAAAGGATGAATATGCCCAAATTTCGGAGTGATGATTCATCCTTTATTGGACCCCTTTGTGACATTTTATCAAAAAATAACACATGAAGTTGATTTGTCGCATTCACAAAACTTTATTTGGCACCACCAAATTTAATCATTAAGAAAGCAGCTGTGTACTTCTTTTCCTTTATTTATCACCTGTCCTATCTCAATTACAACCAACAATGAAGCCATCGTATTGAAAATTTGAAATCAAGAGAAAAATGGTACCTCTCATTTGTAGTATCTTCCTCTTGAGTTGCTCAGCACAGGCCTCGCAGTGCATGTTTACATTAAGTTCCACAGTAACTGGTCCACTAACCTGTAACAAACAACAATTCAACTTTTGTTAATTAAATTAACTCTTTATATGTAACCATCTTTGTTTATTTTGGCCTCAGCTAGAAAAGAGGAACATTGTTGTGATACCTGAGAATTAACAACTTCTGGTATAGGTTCACCTTCTGCTGCAGGCAATGGAGATATAACACTGGCTCTTCTCTTAGTCTTCTTGGTGATTATGTTGCAGATCGCTTGAGGCTCCACTATACCCTTTATAGTCACTTCATTTTTAGCCATGTCAATTACCACTCCCTCAACTCCTGTTAGAAGAAAAATACAAAAGAAAATAATGAGTGCACATGCATGCATCACATTTGGTAGCACAAGGAAAGAGACCATGTAACAGATTTGAACCTCTCATTTTCATGATATATCTCTCAATTTTCTTGGCACATCCCACACAATGCAAGTCCACAAACAGAACACATGGGGAAGGTGGTTTAGGTTCTTCCTTCTTCTCTTCTGCTGGCTTTTCTTCTGACTTTTCCTCCTCCTTATTTTCCTCTGCTGGTTTTTCCTCTGGCTTCTCTTCTCTGTTCTCCTCAGGCTTGGCTTCAGCCACTGGTTGTTCCTACTCAAAATATAAAAAGGAACACACATAATAAATACAAGAACTAATTAATGTAGACCAAGTTATAACACTATCAGCAAGAAAAAAAGTTTCACTAGAAAATCACAATATCAACAGAAAGGTTATATCACCTGTTTTGCTTCCTCACCCATTTTCCCTATGAATGGAGACTGAAATGTCAAGTTATTATTCTGATTTTGGGAAAAGGCTTTTGGACATGCAAAAGATGGAGAGGGTTTAATAAGTACAGAGAAGTCAGTGATATTATAAGGAAGGAAGGAGTAGGGGTATGATGGATGGCTGGAGGTGATTGGCATGTAAAGTTAAGCTGATTCCTTATCACATGTAGTGCCACTAACTGAAAAAGGAACCTCTTAGTTTAATATTTCTTTTCAGAACTCTTTTCAATCTTCAAGGGTGAAGGTTGAAGGGGTGAATCAGGGAAGCAGGCTTAGCAGATTTATAGACCAAGGAGGGGTAGAATGAGGGAATTAATAGTGAGGCCAAGTTGTGAAGAGAGAGAAAAAAAGAGTAGAAAGAGAAAGAAAGGGTGCTTTGAAAAATCATAATACTTCCATTATCCACCGACTGGTAAATTTTTGATAACAAGTGGTGAAGTGTCATTATGTCAGACATGCATGGCATACATGGATAGTGTAGGACCTCATCAGGACAACCTGGAGACCTACCTAGGTATGGATCTAGTGTCAATACCTATTCTAAATATAATTACCCACTCATTGCCTTTTTTATCTGAAATGTAATTACCAAATTACTATATGGTTAACCACGTGAGACTAAGATTCTTCCTGACTATTTGCATTATAAAATTCTTAATACAATTTATTTGATTACTCTTAATTTGGAAGTTAGTACACGTATATGCTGCAGTTAACAGACATTTAGCATCAGTCCAAGAAGAGAATTAGCTTCTTTATTTTAAAGAGTACGTTCGAGTTATTGAATATTATTGAGAATCTTTACATGCTAACAACATAACTGCAGCCAATTTAAACTATTGGCTAATTGTTTATCTCAGAAAAATTAATAAAATAAAATTTGTTCTTTTTTGTTGCTGAGTAATCATTCTCCCCCCATTAAGTAAGCATCAGGCATGTATAAAGCTCGCTTATAATTTAAATTTTTTGGTTTTACCTAAGTTCAAATTAAGATGCTTTCATGAAACACAAAGTGTCATTTAGATTTATTAAAGATTAGATTAAACATTTATTTATATAGATGAGTTGCAAATCATAAACATGACAAGTGTTTGTCCAATCAATGAAAGAATAGTGCACATGAATTTTTCATATTTATTTATCCTACTTAAGCTTAAGTTGGGGTAACCATCCACTCAGATGAATAGACATAAGGAAAACAGATAAATTGTAATTACCTGAAAGGCTGAAACAGCATATTAGATACTTTCTTTGAGTTATACATGAGTTTGACCATGCATAGATTAATGAGTTGATGGGACAATGAAAGAGTAGGTAACAATCAAAAAATCCAGATGTCATGAATGTAGTCACATAGACATTGTGATTTCTCAAAAGTTAAAATGAAATTAGCTGATACATTTGCTTGTACACGAATTAGAGCTTAAGCAACGCATTTCTCATTTTCATGAAATGTGATTGGGATGGATGACACATGGGGATCCCAGAAATATCTTTTATTTTGCGTGTAGAAACTAGTCTAATAAAGTTGATCACCACGTGGACTGTTAGTGATCTTTCTAGTTTCGATGACAATGCTTTGTCTGTTACGTATCTTTTTCATTTCCTGCTCCCATAGGAATTTGGATTGTGAAATTCTTTTTTTTCTTTTGGTATTACCAATCAATCCGTTTTTACTCTGCATGTAGTAACCAAATACTTTATACCAAAAAGTGATGGGGCAAGCTTTCCGTTGAACATTAAAAAATGTGTCCTTACCAAACTATGCTAACTTGTGGATGGTTAGGATTGGTAAATTTCATCTTCCATCATATTTCCTTTACAAGGAAACATGAAAGCCATCTTTTTTAAACTGAGTTGTTCTCAACATCTTAATAGAAAAGTTTTTGACTTGATTAATGCTTCCTTTGGGGACAAAGAAGAAAGAAGAGATTCAACTTACTAGGTATATGTAGTACCACGTGGAGATGACTCATCTTTGTGCACTAAGAAGGCTACTTTTACTCCCCTATGGTTAATTTGGCAAGAAATCTCAACCACAAAATCTGAAAGATTAATAAATTCTACCAACCAACACATCTTCTAACTGATGCAAAGATAAGCAATGTCCGGCCAAAATGGACTACAACCATTTGATATAAACTAGGTTGATGTTAGTTGATTTGCTTTCTCCCTTTGATATAATCTAAAGGGGTAAAATAGACATTGGACATGTGAGAGGGTATCTAAACATTGAATGGAAAGATGATTAAAAGATCCTAATCAAGGTATGGCCCCTTCTATTGTTAGATTTGCTGGTTATGAAGAATCTAGATGGTTGCTTAGCTTGATCAGTAAAGCTATTATACCCAACCACCTATTTCTCTTTATTGGTGCAAACTATATTTATATTTACGTTTATGTATATTACAATTCATAATTGCATTATGGATTTATGATAAGATTTTGGAACTCTTGATGTCTTGTCATTTGCTTAACAGAATCTTTGCTTTAATAGTCAACACTTACTCAGCTTGTGATAAGACATTCACCAAAGGAGAGAATTCCATGTGTCCACTCTGCTATTTTCAGTTAAAAGGAGCAAAGCAGAATGATTAAGAAAGGTTTAAAGTGATGATCTGGCTTAAGGTCAGCCTTAACTCAAGGGACAATGGACATCATGGAATTGTAGCCATCAGTTTTTGATCAACAAATTCTGAAAAATCTTAATTTCCCTCATTTACTTTTCATTAGAATTTAAGCTACTCCTACGTATATAATAAGTAAATAAACCGTCTTTCCTTATCAGAACCTTTATTTTGTCCACCCAATGAATTATAAAATTGGAAATTTCATATTAAGATATTGATTCTCTAGTAGTTATAACCATTGAGGTCTCTCAAAATAGCTTACAAAATTTACAAACTTCTTTCATTATCCATCACGAAGCAAGAAAAGGTAGGTGCATGTCATTATATTACAAAAGCAATGTAGAACATGAAATATACCTACCAACCTGTAAGTGTTGGCCCCGCTAAGCATGCAGATGTCAGCTAATGCCGGTTCTCTGGTGGAGGTTTTCCTCCTTTTATCGTTTTATTTGTTCTCTCTTTAGTTTTGGCATGTGAACTTTGAATTGCTTTGGAAGCAAAGATCACCCGTTATGTATGATCATATGACAGAAATCTCAACGACCCGAAAAATTGAGTTAAGGCACAAATCATTGAACAATGTATTATTGAAGGCACACATCATATTATTACACAAGAAATGTAAGAAACATTATTGAAGAATCTAATGGAACATGAAAGCATTATTGAAAGTTGGCAGCCAACTTGATAGTTTTTTACGATACACTCGCTGCCAACCCAAGAAAAAACAGAAGAAGGGATATGGTCAAGATACTGAAGTACATTGTTTCATTTATGAAGAAATGAAGTATATTATTACGCATTTTAGCCTATGAATTGGTTACTGGTTTATACTTTTTCATAATTTTTAGGACAGTTAGAGTGATATGTACATTTAACATAAGTACAATTCAAATAGTAGACACTACAAAATTCAAATATTAGGTACTAAAAACATATGAAGAGAGAATCGACATGGCATGCACTTGGTAATGAGTATATACCACTTTGTGATCTCACAAGGATTAAGGAACATGACCTTTCTTGTCTTAGAGTACATTCAATATGGTCTACATTTCAAGAATGTCTCACCTTGATGTATCTTGACTGGGGGCAAAAAGAATCCATAAGAGTCAAATTGATAATGAGTGCAGTGAACGTGTATGGAAGGGCACGTGGATGTGGGTCATAGGGTTCCTAAAACCACTTCAGTGGGAATAACTAACAAACATTTACATTATTAGACCTAATATTCAATTTTATAAGTAAATATCTAGATCTATCTCATCCATAGATAGAACCTTCAATTTGTGCAGCAATATAATAAGATAAAATGTGCTTAACAAACAGAAGAGAATTAATGTTCATCTAAAATAAACTCAGCAACAACAATGTGCAATGCAGATCCTATGAGAAACACTTCCTCATCAAGAAGAGAAAAAGGGGAGTGATTAGATATCACTTTCTCATTTCTGATTTCAATGCTAAACAGTTTTTGAGGAATCACTTCATCTGCCAATTACTTTCTTCACATTTTCCGCATGCTGATGTAAATTTTCGTTTGTCATTGTGAAGTGTTCTCCTTTCATATCAACATATTCATAGCATATGTGTCTGCTGCCTTTTTTTTTTAGTAATTTGCAATCTATCTATTCATAATATAAAAATTAACATGCAGGCTCATTGGCTCTTCAGCAGCTTAATCTTGATCTTTTCCATATATCATGAAATTTAATGTTATGCACATAACTTGCACTTAGTCCCTCTAACAGCTATCAGTATTGGATTGCAGGCTCATGAATTTATGGCTTTTGAGTAACTAGTTTGAACAGTTACACTCTAGGACATATTATCTATCTTTCACAATAAAAGGGAAAATCAATTTATGTGGAAGGATTGAATAGAATTGCACATCAGTATTAGGTTAATCTTCTCTGTTTCGGCACTTTTAATTTGATTACTGAAATATGTGAATTTGTGATAGGTTTCTATTATTCCAGTGGTTTGAACTTTGAATCACTATTTGTGGGAAAAGGAGCATCACAAAATTATTTCTTTTAATGATTTTGCCCTGTTGATGAACATGTACAATTTTACTCGATTCAGTAAAATTGTCATATTTTAATTACATTATTTCAATTCCAGAACAATGTGTTGCATGTAAATCGAGAAAAAAAAAATCTAAGTTCGCAGTGTTTGAATATGTACTCTTTCAAGCATTATTGACAATGATTAATTTAAATTGATGCCATTAGTGTCAGCTTATTATAATTCTATTAGCCAGCTACGAAAATTTCAACAATTTCTTATAGATTAATGTTAACTAGTCTAAACTATTATTATCAACAGTCAACACCTCCTTTGTTGTCTTCTCTTTTTTCTCTTTCAACTTCACTCAATCTAGTTTTTCCTGGATCCAGTGAATGACATTTCATGACTTTAGACTGTTAGACATCTGTTCTTTTTGATAATTTTCATTGAACAGAACTCAAATTGTTTCTGTCCTTCCCCTTCCTGTTTATCAACAAATTTTGGGATTTTATTTTTAAAAAAATAATTTTCAAACAAGAACAGATATATTTTGTAGAGGAGTGTGATAAATTTTTATTCTTAGACTGTATAGAGCTAAAGTGTAATACAAAAATTAAATATATCTTATTCACAAAAATAAATTACATATTTTTAAAATTCGGACCAGTGATTGACTCAATCAGATTGCTGATTGCTGGTTAAACCGTATGAATTAATAATTACTAATATCTTTAAATCTAAATGAATATCAT